AGGTCTGGCGGATGTCCTGGGAGCCATGCTGGGCCCTCCCAGGACACGGGATGTGAGCTGAGTCCCAGGAGGGAGTGCCTGGCAGTGCCCCTGCTCTGAAAATGCCTTCAGTAACAGCTCCTGCAGGGGGAGCCTGTGGCTCTGCAGCAGGGAAGCTGGCACACCCCTGCAGGTATTGGGGATCCCCCTAAAGGGTGACTTCTCACTTTCTGTCTGTCTCTCCAGCCAGCCCAAGCCCACTATAGCAAAAATCTCTCTTAAAAAAAATCTAGCACTTTCTCTGGGAGAGGTGAGGGTGGGACGCTTCTCTCCTGGAGGCAACCCGCCCATGGAACGGCATGTACGGGGATGAGTCTGGAGGAAGGCCTCCAGCACCTGCCCAGCCCTGAAGCTCTCCCTGCCTCGGTTTCTCACCTGGGCCTGGGCAAGGCCTGTGATCCCCCTCCCCGGCGTGGGTAGGCAGGCGGGCCAGGACCAGAAGTCCCCGTACTTGAGGTGCTTCTCCTTTCCAGGAGCTGAGGGGTAAGGAGTGGGGTGACAGCTGTCTTCAGTCCTGCTGGAGAGCCCTGCACACCCCCACCCAGGGGCCTTTGGCCTCAGGGCCTGGGCTATCTGAACCTCACTGCCCCTTTAGCTGAGACAGGAGCCGGAGCAGGCAGGACAGCGACCGCGGGGCCAGGGGTGGGGAGCAGTCCCTTGTGCACCTGGCCCCTGGGACGGTGGGAAGCAGGGCCTCGTTGCAGAGCCCATGTCTGCTGGGCCTCTCACTGTCTCGATGCCCAGCACGTCACAGACGCCTCTGAACAGAGGGGCCATTCTCGGGGCTGGACAGGGCCGAGGATGACTGGATGACTGCAGGCTCCCAGTGACTGCGGGGGTGGGGTGGGAGTTGGCCCTCTGCCAGATTGCAGCCCCTCCCGCTCACAGTCCTGGCCCAGAGCTGGGAGTGGGGTCTCCTGCTTGACCCCCACCACCACTTCTGGAATCAACCACACTCTGGGTCCTGAAAGCACCTTGGCGTTCAAGGCCCATGGGAGCCGGCGAGTAATCTGGGCAGCAAGTGAGGGTGCAGGAAGGCGTGGCGGAGTGGAGGCTTGTGTGAGCAGGGGTCCCTGCATGCCTTTCTCTGAAGGTGGGTGCGATTCCTCAAGCCCACTTTCCTGCTCACTAGCTGGGCAGCCTTAAAGGGGTTCCAGCGGGGCCCTGCGCCCCCAGGCAGGACCTGGGCAGCCCCGGTCTGGGGTTAGATGAGGTGAGCAGTCCAGAGCTAGCACAGCAGGCCGACCCCCACTGGCAGACAAGCACCATGCTTGCTGAGTGTCCTCATTGCCAGGATGCACTGGCACCAAGACGCCAGCTGGGGCTGCCCTACACACCCCAGCCCCTTGCCCCAGCCGCTCTCAGGCCCTTCGGCCCACTGTCACCTCAAGGGGTGGAAGCAGGTCGCAGGGGCAGCTACATAGCATGGAAGGGGCTGGGGCCAGGATGGATACCACAGCACAGTAGGGTGCAGGTGGAGGCTTGCCCCTGGCCACCAGGGCCTCCCACCTGGAACAGAAGCGTCTAGCAGAGGTCGCGGGCTGCCGCCACAGCAATGATAGACACCTGCAGACCCGTGTCATGAGCCGCCCCGCGGATGGCCCACAGGTCACTGCGGAGGGATTTCTGGTGGGCAGGCCCCAGGCCGTGGGGGCCACGAAGTCACTGTGCAGGCGGCCAGCAGGGCTGCGCATCGCTGCAGGGCCTTCGGGCACCTGGCGTGCAGTGGTGAGTGTGCTCTGGCAGCCCAGGCCTCCCAGCAGCAGGCAGGCAGAGGGCAGCCACCCGCCCTTCTCAGCCCAGCAGCCCCTGGGTCCCAGGAGTGAGGTGGTCACAGCACGTGAGCACACGTCCTGAAGACGCCTGTGTTCAGGGGTTCACTTGCAGGCTACGCCATATGAGTGCACACCAACACTGGGGCACAAGTGCACACTCGTCACACGCCCCCAGTATCCTGGGGCCCCGTGGCCCCCACAGCTACAGGAAGCTGTGGTGCGCTCCGAAGCCCAGCAGGCCCCAGCCCCTGCAGGAACAGGCTGCAAGCTCAGGAGAGCAAAGAGCCGAGCCTGGTTCCCTGCAGGGGTAGGGACATTGTCTCCATGGTGACCTGGCACACACTGGATTTTTGTTGGTTGGGCTCCTGGAGGGGAGGGGTCACTGCTGGGCCAGAAAGCCCTGGGCAGCTTTCTTTTTTTTCTTTTTAAAGAATGATTTTATTGAATTTATTTATTTAATTTGACCAGAGAGGGTCATAGTGAGAGTGAAGTGAGAGAAAGTGCGAAAGCCACTAGTCCGAGACTCGAACCAGTCAGCCATGTGGGAGTCCAACGGTCCTAACCACTGTGCTGCCTGCTGGCCTCGCCCTGGGCAACTGTGACCAGAGGCTTAGATTCTGCCTGCCGCCTCCTCAAGTGTTCAGGGACCAGAGGCCTGAGGTCGGCCTGGCCCCCACTTGCTCGCCAGTTCTTCCTCTGAGCCCCTCCCAGTCCTGGTCCCGCTGTTCACTGTGTGTGGCCTTGGACAGGCGCTGGGCCCTTGGCTCTCAGTTTCTTCCTGTATGCAAGAGGCCCACGACAATTCCCACGGAGCCTGCGTGGGTGCTGCCTGCACAGCCCTCCCTCACCAGGCTGTGGGCCTGCCGAGGGAGCTCTGGTCCCCAGCCGGCCCGCAGGTGGAAGTGAAAGGCAGCTGACACCACTGTGCAGGGTGGCCTGCAGGAAGAGGGGCCCCAGCTCCCAGTGGCTCCCAGCCGGGCTTGGGCCCTGGGCCAGCAGCAGCTCCAGGGCGACCTCGCCCTCTGGGCCAAGACCTAGGTGCCTGCAAAGGGCCACGCAGACAGGAGATGCCTGGCTGCTGGCCAGGGTCAAGGTCGCCCAGGATCATGCGCAGTCCCACGGTACACCCACTCGCTCACGACCTGGGCACAGGCTAGGACCAGCTGCTCCACGCTGCCGGGCTCCTGGGTCAGGCCGCTGGGGACAGGACGGAAGGCGCTGATGCTGGTGGCCTGTGTCCCGCCCAGCACCTCCTCCGATCGCCATCAAAAGCTGGATCCATTCTGGAGGAGACAGGCGCGGCGTTTGGACTTCCAGAAGGTCAGGGGTTTCAGTTTCCCGCCAGAGCGCACCCCACCTCCTGTGCTCCTCAAAGTGGAGCGCACCCCGGGCTGGTGGGGTAGCGAGCGCGCGCCTCCTCGCGGGCGCGTGTCTGCCGCTCCACCTACAGCGGATCTTCGAGAACCAGCGGCCCGCGGCGCGCGTG